CATCAAGGACAGTGCTGAGCAAGAGACAAAGAAAAGAAGCATTCCTGGCCACCCAGCTAGTGCTTCCTGCTGGCCCAGGGCTGGGCAGCTCCAGGCTCCACAGCAGTAGGGGTTTACCAGGCAATAGCCAGAAGGCCAGGGTACCCTCTGCTGTGCCTTTTTGGATGACACAGGCTCAAGAGATGTAAGAGCCACCCAAAAAGGCCAGGAAAACACACACACCACCCATTCTCTTGTTTTGCAGCTGAGCAATCCAGGGCCTGGACACAATGACCTCTGCAGCGTCAGAGCAGAGACCAAATCCCAAGGCTTTCAACTTCCACTTCGCTGCATCTTCATCTGTCTCCCTTGGATTCCCAGCTTGCAAGCTGGATAATTCTCATCCCTAGACCTGTTGGCAGGCCAAAGGAATAACTCACGTGAATCAAAAGCAATTTGCAAACATAAATAATTTTCAGTGCCAGGAGAGGAGCCGGTGGGAAGATGCATGGAAGGAGGTGGTGAACACAGCTGGTCTGGAGTCTCCTTCACCCTGCAGGGTCCTTCCTCTGCCCTTTCCAGCTCTGGTGGGAGGTGGGGGCGGAGCAGCACGAACAAAGCAGGAAATAGCCAGCCACACTAAAGCTTCTATGCTGTCCACAGGAGGGGCTCTTTTCACTCGCGTCTTCCCAGCCCACTCACAGCCTTTTCACGTTTTTTTAGCCCTACCATCTCCAGAGGCTTATGGAGGAACAGACAGCCCTCTGCACACGTAGGAACCCTAGACTTCCTCTCCAAAGGCTGCAGTTTCCTTTGTCCTCAACCCACAGCCGCACACAGCCTAAAATAGTGGAGGAAACACCATCCTGTGTGGCCTTCATTTGCCCGAAGCATTATATTCCAAGGGAATGTGCACCATGGCTGTTCTTCAGATTGGAGCCTGCTTCAGGAAACGGAGTTGACAGCGTCAGAACATTCTCTGACTGTGGATAGCTATATGCTTCTGTCTGTCGGAGAGGATGGCCCCCACTGCCACCCCGACAGTGGCACAGCCTTTCTTCAGAGGCTCCAAGGACAGCAGAAATGAGTGTGGAAACAAGCATCATTTTGGAAGGCCCAGAGCACTAAACACACCTTTCCAAAGCCCACCCCACGAGGCTTTCTGAAGCAGAGAGAAACAATGAGAAACCAGACACCATGGAATTAGTGAAGAATTTCTCAGATGAAACAGGAAAGAGAGGAAATCCAGGGAGGTTTACAGGGCACCTGGCGCAGGTTGAAAGGACCCAGGGGGGTGTTGGTGCATTTGAAAGGGTCCTTCACTGGGGCAGTGAGGAGAGAGGCATTCTTGACAGTACAGGTGGTGGCGCTGTCACCCTCCTCCAGTCCAGAATGCACACGCAGGTGCGCACACGCAGGTGTGCACACTCATCATTCTAGAACATAATTAATGCCAGCTCTCAGCTCCAGCCTAGATATAAAAACTTGCAGGACAATTGTAACTGCAGTGTAGTGAGCTCTGTGCTGCAGGTCTTATGCACACAGTTCATGAGTACGCCAACCAGAAGGGTGTGTGTGCATGTATGCACGAGGCGGGGTGGGGACAGCATTCAAACTACATTCATAAGAATGAGATGGCTGCCCTGCTGTGTGGAAATTAAACTACAGCTCTTCTTGCATCTTTCTCCAGGATTATCCTTAGGGCCTGTTTCCCTAAATTCAATTACTACATAATTACCTGGAGCCTCCAGAAATCCTCACAAACCACTCAGGTGGAGTGAGGGGGCGGTGGGACCCAGAGAAGCTGAGCACAGCATGTCTGCTTGGCTCCTGGTGGGGAAGAGATGGGCCTGGTGTCCTTGGGGAGCTGAGCTGCCTGAACCAGGACTCCTGAGCAACCTTTGGCTCAGGATGCTGTTAATGGTTAGCAGTCCAGGAACCAGTTTTATTGTCTGAGGCCCTGTCACCTACATGTGCACATGCAGAACTTGACACACATAGACACATATTTGAGGTATCAGCATCTGAGGAGTCCTGTTATCTATGTACAAGGGCTGGAAAGATGACTCAGCAGTTAAGACCCCTACTGCTCCTGCAGAGGACCTGGGTTTGATTCCCAGCTCCCAACTGAGATAGCTCACAATTGCCTGTAATGCCAACTCCAGGGGATCTGATGTCTCTAGCTTTGGCAAACACACTCAAGTGCATGGGCATACACACACACACACACACACACACACACACACACACACACACACACAGAGAGAGAGAGAGAGAGAGAGAGAGAGAGAGAGAGAGAGAGAGTGAAAAATAAAAATAAACATTTTTTTAAAGAGCTGCATGCAAAGGGTTGGGGATGCAGCTCAGTTGTGAAAGCTCTTACACAAAACCCTGAGGTTCACCCCAGCCCATGTGATGCCCCATGCCTATAATCCCAGCATTCAGAGGTAGAGGCAGGAGGATCAGAATTCAACAGAAGTTTGATGAGACCCTACCTCAGAGAAGAAGTAGGATCGCAGAAGTAGCCGCAGCTTGAGTTTCAAGAGCACAGGGCCTTAAGGCAGTGGTTCTTAACCTGTGGGTCGAGACTCCCTTGGAAGGGGGGAGTCGAACGATCTTTCACAGGGGTCACCTAAGACCTTCAGAAAACACAGATATTTACACGATGATTCCGAACAGTAGCAAAACTATGAAGTAGCAACGAAAATACTTTTATGGTTGGGGGTCACCACAACATGAGGAACTGTATTAAAGGGTCATAGCATTAGGAAGGCTGAGAACCACTGCCCTAAGGGATGTGAGGCCCAGAGAGATACACGTAGGCTGGCAATAAGTTGGGACATGCAGCTGATTGACGATGAGTAGTGGGCAGAGGTGGTAGGTGCAGAGTGAATGGGGGAGACCTTAGGAGCTCCAAGGGTAGGCACTACAACTTTAGGGAGGTAATGGGATCCGTGCCTGCCTTTGAAGCACCCACTGACAGAATCTGGGAGACAGGCATGTAGATTCCTGACTCTTACCCCACTGCCTGGCTCTTTGACTTGGGACAGGTTAGCCACCAAGCCTTCATATTGTCACCTGCAAAGTAGTGACAGGATCCACTTCACAGGGATGAGGGAAGTTGGCACAATAACCCCCTTCAAGTGCACGCACGCTTCAAGAGCTATCAGTATTAACTTACCATTTACTGTGAAGGAAAAGGCCAGGGGTGGGCAGGGGAGGGGTGGATTTCTGAACCAGTGGCCACCGGAAGTAGACACTTGTATTCAAGAATAACAGTCTTCAATAACAATTTCCTCTTTAGAGTCTTCACCTCAGATATACAGCAAGCACTCTCATAGGGTCACAGAATCCACTTGCTTCAAAAAACATGAGGTTCTGGCTTTGTTCCAGGGCGGGTTTGCTATGAGGCCCTCATCTTAAGTCAGAAGCCCCAGTGTTATTCTGAGCCATCCACTGTAAAGCCAGGAGGGTTGAGATCCCCTCGACATCAGCCATCCACTCTGAAGGGAATGAGGACAGAGGTGAGGTAAGCAGCTTAGAGGGGAGGTGACCTAGGACAATGGTGGTTTAGAGGTAAGCATCTCTATTCATCTATTGCTTGGTCAGGCCAGGGCTGCAGACCAGAAGCCTTTGAGAGACTTGGGGTGTTTAATGGATCCCTGGCAAAAGTGATTTGAGTGTTTTTTTTTTTTTTTTTTTGGTTTTTCGAGACAGGGTTTCTCTGTGTAGCTTTGCGCCTTTTCCTGGAACTCACTTGGTAGCCCAGGCTGGCCTCGAACTCACAGAGATCCGCCTGGCTCTGCCTCCCGAGTGCTGGGATTAAAGGCGTGCGCCACCACCGCCCGGCTGAGTGTTTATGTAGGGTAGGAGTCTTCCAAAATGTTCAAGGCTGTCTCCTGACACACTATCATTTCCCTGCATGGTCCAGCCTTCAAGATGACCAGAAAAAAGTCCCGGGGAGGTGAAGAATTGTGGGTAAAGGCAGCAGGCACAACAAGTAGATCTGTTCTGTTTTCTTCAGCATCCTGGATGTTTGCTGACAAACACCAAGGGTCAGATCTTCCCTGACTTCTTTGTCTCTGTGTGTCACAAGCTCAGAGAATTCCCACCTCACCCCCAGCCCAATCACAGGTGAGGGCCCCATGTCACCCAGCATCCTGTCTATGCCACGTGACTTCACACTCAAAGTCTTCACCATAACCACCTTACAGGACTGGTGATTTTCAGGTCCCTGTGGGTAGGGGTTGACACAGTGACAGTGCAGGACTGAAACAGAGTCTCCAGACCAGATCTAGAGTACTCAGCTAAATTTTATGATCACCTAAAATAATGCAACATTTTTCTTTGCTTTGGAAGAAGTCTCAAATATTTCACGGGATATATATATATATATATATATATATATATATATATATATATATACACTAAATATTATGCATTGTAGTGCTGGGGATGTAGCTCAGTTGGCAGAGTACTTGCCTAGCATGTAATAAGCCCTGGGTTTGGTTCCCAGTACTGCCTAAAACCAAGCATGATGGGCATGACTGTGATCTCAGCATCCATGAGGTAGAAGGAGTAGGAACAGAATCTCAGGGTCATACTTATCCTCTGTTAATGAGTTGGAGGCCAGCCTGAGTTACAAGATACATGAACTCCTCCATATTATATGTGTGTGTGTGTATATAGATATATACATGTGCGTGTGTGTATGTATATATGTATATATGTGTGTATATACACATACACAGTGTATATATACAGATAATGTATATATTGTGTGTGTGTGTATATATATATATATACAATGTATGTATGTATGCATATTTGCTCAGCAGTTGCAAGCACTGACTGCTCTTCTAGAGGACCAGGTTTGGATCCCAGCACCCACATGGCGACTTGCAACCATCTGTAACTTCAGTTCTGATACCCTCTTCTGACCTCCACAGGTACCAGGCACAAAGGTGGTGTACAGACATACATGCAGGCAAAACACTCATACACATAAAAAGAAAAATAAATAAAACTTTAAAAATATTTATTTACATTCATTTACATGCATATGCTATTTATTTACATGTATTTACATGCATATGCTATTTATTTATTTACATGCATTTACATGCATATGCTTTTCAAATTGAACTGAGAACCCTAGATTTTCATTTGCTTGGCCTGACAACTCTGGACTATGCTGGATCTGTGGGACATCCCCGACTCGTAGTGTCCAAGGATGGAGTAAACACTGTGGGGATGAACTTGGCGCTTCTGGAAGTGGGCAGCTTCAAAGAGGAGGGTTCACAAATACCTCTGCCTTTGCACTGTCAACTCTTGTCTGTGTTTTTAAGGCATAGCCTCAGGAGAAAGGTTCATCTGGAGAATAAAAAAGATGTTTGGGTGTGTAGAATGCAATGCTTTCCTTTTCTCCCTTTGAATTTGAATTCTCTACCTCAAAGAAAGGATTTTTGCCCTGTTGCTTGTAAAGTGCTGGTCAGAGACCTTCTGTTTGGGGAGAGCTGGACCTTCTGAACCCTCCCTGCCTGAATGCTCTCGGAGGAGGAACTCTTGTCATGGCCCTTAACTCTGTGTTTCTGTGCCTTGGACATGTCTTCTGAGACCAGTGCCAAGGGCTCAGAGGGCAGAGTCCTAGGAGGCCTCTCTGCAGGATTGGGACGGGCCAGTCTGGTTCCAGAATCAAACAAAAATGCCCACCAGGATCTTAAACCTGTATCACAGAGAGCTGTCCTCCTGGGAACTACATAGGCCAAGTTGCTTAGCTGGCACATGGGACATACAAGGAACTCAGTAAATGACAAACCCCTGACCCTTTGGGGACAGAAGAGGGTCTTGGTAACCAGGCGAGGCACCTTAGTTGCTTTCTTAGACCTCTTCCCCACTGTTCACTTCTGACTGGGGATCCAAGTCTGCCCAGATCACCCCCAAGGCCCTGCACCCATACCCAGCTTTCAAGGCCTCAGGGCACCTGCAGATCAGGCTTTTCCGGAAGAGTAGTGAGTGGACCAGTGTCCCTCCCTGTCTTCTAGGACCATCTTCTGCCTTTTTTCCCCTTTCCCCAGGCTTGGCAGAATAGCGGCCTCCTGAGGGCCAGACTTACTATCAAGGCACCACTTCTGCAGACCTGATGAGGAGTGTCCGTAGCATCCGTAGCATCCGGGAGTTTTTAGTTTTCATGAACTGGAAAAGCAGGGGCTGAGGCTCCTGCCTGCCACGGGCCTTTGTGCACCCGCCAGTGAAGGACAGGCCCAATTCTAGCGCTGAGCAGGCGGGTTGCCAGAAGCAGGATCAGCCTCCTCCGCTCACAGGGTGGCAAAGGGCGTTCATTACACAGAGGGGGAAGGGTTTAACTCACTCTGAAGCGGGCTCTCGGGGATGGGGTAGTGGGAGGGACAATTCACAAAAGCCGGGTCTACAAACTCCCAAAGGCTTTTTTTAAAAAAGCAGTTCCCTTCCCTCCTCCCCTCCCCCGCCCCACGCCCCTCCCCCAGTCCCAGCCGCTGATGGCCTGCAGCCAACACTGGCCACTCTGCACATCCAGGCTCCCGCCCTCTAGGCCTTCCTCTCCATCTCTCTCCCAGCCTTCCCAACTCTGCCCCTCAAGCTACCTCAGCACCCCACCACACACACAGACACACAGACACACAGACACACACAGACACACACACACACACACACACACACACACACGCACGCACGCACGCACGCACGCACAAACTCTGAACCAAGCAGTCATCTTCCGCCTTGGTGCCACTTTAGGCTCGGCCCTGGTTCCGGATCGAGGCTTTGCACCCCGGGAGAGACCAGGCGCTCACTCGATCCCCAGGCGCGAGGCCCCAGGGCCTGCTTAGCCACCGAACCAGGAGAAAGATCGCTGTGTCTGCAGAAAGCCGGCCGCTGGTGGTGGCTTCCTGGCCCGCTGAGCCGCACCCCTAGCCTAGGGGCCATTAACCCCTTCCCTCCTCCCACCACACCTAGCAGCACCTCGATCTTGTCACCACCAAGGGGATGAGCAACCAGTGCCAGCTCACGCAGCTAAGGAAGGGAGGGTGGTAGACCAGACTCAGCCGGCCTGTCACCCCCCCATCTCGATCCATCCTGCAGAAGGCCCTCGATCCCCCACATAACAGTTTACTTGCTCCAGCAGTGGCCTTTGGCCTGGTGGTTGAGAAAGGGCCTCCTCTGCTTCCTTGGAGGGGCGGGGCCCCGACAATGTCAGCGGGGACGGGCCCTAAAGAGTGGGGTCCACTACTCTAGTATCCTGGTTCATAGCAGGGAGGGCTGAGGAACTTTCAGTCTCTCTAGGGCCTGGCTTGGGGGGCAGGGGGAGCGTCACCAGCCTGAGAAACAGGATCCAGGAAGGGGGTGTACACCAATTGTTCACCCCTACACCCCTCCTCCACAACCCAGAAGTTGAAGAGTTTGCCAGCTAGATGGCTATCACCCGCCAGAAAGCCCTGAGGACTAGTGACTCTTGTACACGCCCCCGCCCCCTTCCAGCCCAGCACCTCTCTACCATCCCACATCGCGTTACCAACGAGGGTGCCTCTCTGGAGACACCAGACCCCAAGCTTGGCTTGAGCAAAGGCTTAGCTCTGGGGCGACAGGCTTACTTCACGTGATCTAGGCGGAAGTGGGGTGAGAGAGGGTCCATCTTCCTTCCCCCCAGCTTCCAATATCCCCCCCGACTGAGCTAATCTCAGACAGCAGCGTATCGCACCTTCAACATCTCCATTTAATATTTACATTCAAGCAGGTAATAATTGGAAGCTTATAGTTCAGACATTTCTATAGCAGCAGGTTCTAGAGAGCTCTTTAGCCTTTTAACAAACTTTTTTTTTTTGCACATAGAAACAACACACCCATGTGTACAGTATCAAAAAATATATACCAAGGTTACTGGTGTCGCAGTTCCTGGAGAGGAGGAAATGAAATCAAAATACTGGATGAAGGGAGAAGAAAAGGACAACTGAAAATAGTCTGTCTGATATAGAATATAACATGATCTAGAGGAAACTCCATAAATCTAGGTTTTTATATTTCAATATATAAATACCTACAAATAAATATATATATATATATATCAGCCCGAAGTGGGGGTGGTCGGGCCTTCTGAGTTCAAACAATACATTTCAAGAATAACACCACGTACAAACCGGAGTAGAGTCAGCACTTGACAAGTTAGCACGGTTAAAATATAATACTATAACTCTGAGACCGCCTCGGGGCTGCAGGGTCAGTTCTGGAGGTCCGCGGGGAGGGCGAGGGTCTCCTACAGGGGAGGGGAGGTGACGGCAAGGCCGCAGGCACCGAGTGGAAGGAGACTGTGAGAAAAGGACAATTCAGTCGGGATCCCGGGGCGTGAGCGGAGGGCCCTGGCCGTCGCGGCTGGCTGGGGCGTCTTCTCCGTGGGAGCCTCTGCGAGATTGCAGGCGCCGAGTCCCAGTGGGTGCGACTCCTTCCCACTACACCGTCACATACTCCTTGAAAGTGACCGTGAGGCAGTTCGCCGTGACGTCAGTGATAATTATATTCCCAAAGAAGGGCTTGAATTCGCTCAGGGGCTCGGCGGGCTCGTCCTGGGCCTCAGCCGGAGGCTTCTCCGTTGCAGTGGCCGGCGCCACTACTGCCGCCACAGCCGGAGCCTCGGGCTTCACCTGGAGAGAGCTGGGAGGCCCCCCAGCATCGCTGCTGCGTATCTTGACACAGCGCAAGTCTATGGGCTCATCCAGGTCTGAGTCCAACAGGATGACCTCGGGCTGCTGCGGCAGAGACGCTGCGGTGGGGGACACGTTGGCGGGGTGTTCCGAGGCCGGGCTGCCCCCGAGGCAGGTCGGCGTGCTGATGCTGCGGGCGGTCAGCCGCTTCTTGCAGGGCTCACGCTCGCCATGGGTCTCGGAGAGGCAGCGCTTGCGCGCGTGGGAGAGGTTCAGGCCCACCGTGTGGTGGTGATGGTGGTGGTGGTGGTGGTGGTGGTGGTGAGGGGGTGGGTGTGAGCTCCTGGCTGGGTCCCAGGCCAGCAGGTCTGGCTTGGTGGTGAGCTGCAGCGGCTGCTCACCAAAGGCCTCCTTGGTCGGGGAGAGCTTTCGGGACTCTAGGTCCTGGGGCTGAGGGTCCCCCGGCGCCAGAGCCTCCTCCTCCCTGCGTTTGCAGGGCACTTCAGCTTTCTTCTCTTCAGCACCGCCGGCGGCCGTCTTTTTAAAAGTCCTGTCGGCCTGGGGATGGCGCTCCTCGGCAGCGCGTTTCTTGTGGCTGGGGGAGCGCGCTTCGCCCTCGCCCGCCTCGCCCGACTTGATCTTCACCGCCTGCATGCCGTTCTCCATGTACTTGCTCATCACGATCACGATGCGCCCGTTCTTGTTCTTGTTCTTGACGATTTTCATCTTGCCCCCAATGCCGTTTCCGGTCACTGCCTCCTTAGGGGCTGGTGTCATGCCGTTGGGAGGGCCCTTTTCCGAGCCCTTGCCTGGAGCTCCTGCCCCTCCCCCCAGGGGCTTCACTGCCCCGAGGTAGCCTTTGGCTGCAGCTCCGTGGGCCCACTTGTCAGGAGGGTGGCTCTTGGCGCCCAGGTCTGGGCAGGTGGGGCTGGGTGCCTCCTTGTGGCCACCCTGGTACTGCAGGTCGTACATTTTGGGGTCTGGCTGGTAGGGGTGGTGCTTTTTGCTGTTCAGCTGATAGTAATACTTGCCGCTCTTCCCTGGTGGCGGTGGCTTACCCGATCTCTCCTTGCTATGCGGCTGGTACTGATGGTGCTTCTTGCTGTTGAGCTCATACTGGTGCCCCTGGCCCTTGCCCTGTGTGCCCAACTCCAGCTTGGCACGGTTGTCAGCGGAGGAGTCTTGAAGCCCTGTCAGGACATTGGAGCGGCGGGCAAAGGTGGGTACCTAAGGGGGAGAAAGGAGGGGAAAGGTTGGCCCGACGGCATGCCGGGAACATCAGGAATGCTCCAGCTCCCACGGGTGGAAGTTGCATCATAGGGGGTGGGGCCAGAGGTTCTAGAAGAAATTAAGTGCAATTGGGGGTGCTCCCTCCGGGAACTCTAAGTAATCCGGGGAGCAATGTTCAGGGAGGGGCTTGTGCTGGGATCCCAGGATAAGCTCAAAGTATTCACCTGCACCACCAGCGGTTTGGGCTTGGGCCCTCTCTTTCGATATCCCATCAGCTGCTCCTGCCGTTCCCTGGGGAGGGGACAGGGTCGCAAGGTTAGTATCCTCAGTCTTCCTTGAGGTCTGTAGCACCCTGTTCCCACCCCTCCTTCCTTTTGCTACTGAAAGGAAGGAACCAGCTGGAGGCAGAAGGTGGCCAGTGTTGCCAGTTGGGCACCTTCCTTGAAGTCCCAAGTCCTACTTCATCTGCCGAAGGGGTCCCCCACGTGACACTCATAGGTAAACCTTCTCCCTCCCTTCACCCACACACTGTCCAGGAGACTGCTGCTTGGAGCTGACTCCCTAGCACTGGGCACAGCGTCGGGCCTGTGGCCCGCTCTGCAGACAGTGTGCTGGGTTTGGGGGTCCAAGGAATAGGAGGTGTGTACTGACTTCCTAGTCCCTCGCGGTCAGGAGCGTGGATGCTAACTGCCTCATTAAGATTCAGATAAAGAGAGCCGCCAGTTGAAGGGAGGACTCCTTTTCTTAAAAGGCCAGGCATTAAGCGCAGAGGGACTGCGCCCTTGTTTACATAGCGGCAAATAAGCCAATTAGGGGTTGGGGGTGCCTCTGAGGCTAGGGTCTAGCCAGGTTCTCAGGCACCTGGTGAACCAGACATGGCACAATCCCCCCGCCTCTCATGAGCCAGTGGGTGGGGCAGGGGTGACCAGCAGAAGGACTGCCTCCCTAGAAGAGCAAGATCTGTCTGTTCCACCCAAATTTCTGAATTATCAATACAGTTCAAGGGCGGGGGAGCACCGATCACCACTACCAGGCTTCGCTTGGTCTGGCCACCCAAGAAGTGATCAGTGATCGGTCGGTTGTCCCAGGCACTGTACAGCCCTCCATGATTCAGCCACCCCTCCAGAGGTTGTCAGATTCCGGATCAGACACCCACTCTTCAGCGACCCGAGAGTTGCCACCCCCACCCCCAAAGCCCCTGGGCCGACTCGGGGGAGTTCTGCCATGCCCTGGGGCCGAGTTGGGGTCTGATACTGAAGTTGCACAGAATTGCAACAGCCTGGGTTATAATACTTCAGGGACGCATTATGCAACATGGCATCAGCCGCTGACATGGTTACAGGGTGGTGAAGTCCCAGGTGAAGTCGGGGTAGGTTCCCTATCCTACACCCGCGGCGTCCCGGGAAAGCAACTTTAGCCCTCAGGATCCAGGGTTTGCACTTTTAGTAGCAAAAGCGCCACAGGAAATACTTCAAAATAAAAGGATAGAAGGCTGAGGGGTGGCGCGGTTCTGAGGACTCTTCCCCTCCTCCACGCCCTTCCCCCTCTACC